CCGATAGCCTTCTCATACATAAGAACCATCCTCTAGATCAGTGATTTTTCAACCAGTGTGCTGCATGAATTTTTAAAATAACAAAAAATGACAACAGCTAACATAATAGCTGTCCGGTGTGAATGAATCAAAATTATACCTATCTTTGGTCAGGTAGGCAAAAAAAACACTTTTTGGTGCATTGCATAATTTTAGTAATTTGTGTGTGCTATGAGATGAAAAAGGTTGGAAGTTGCTGCTCTGGATGGTTCTTTATCTCATGTGATTGATGCTCTGGATGGTTCTTCATCTCGTGATTGATTTAAAGCTGTTGTCAACTACTTTTAAAAATGCAGAGCATAACTACCTGCTTTTAACAGTTGCACCCAAAAAAGGGTGATAAATTCCAAGTGTAGTTAGATTTGAAAAGTGTTCTTGAAAAGTACTTGAAATAGGTTTCTCTAAGTAGAAATTCAATTCCTCATATTGATAAAATTAGAATTTCTTTCCTCTGAACAAAATATTTTATTACGTGATATGGTTAACTCATACCTAGGTGTTTTCTAGGCCTTGTAAAGTCACACAAAAGATTAAAAGAGGATGGTTATTGTATAAAGTACTTGCCACAAAACTCCAGTAAGACTATAAATGTAAAATATATGAGAGATTTTTATTTTACACATTTGGAATCTATAATTACACCTGATCCAAAGAGAGTAAGTGTGGAGTGAATTGTACTGAGGCTTTAGAGAAGGGAGGCATACTTTTTTTTTGGCTGCTTATTTTCCACTTGGTGCAAGGCACACAGTTATGAGGGTGTCAGGAAGGCTTGTGTGTGGCTTGGATAGTAAAGGGCGGGGCTCTCTCAACTTCCTTATTGTTTTGCTGTTTTGACATGTAAAAGAACCCAACTGCTTTTGTTTGCAGTAGCCTGCCTAGTCTAAGGGGTGGGGTGGGGATGGGGAAAGGGGGTTGAGGAGGGGTGGTGAGAGGGGCTCAAAAGAGCCTAGGGCCTCTAGAAGTCTGGTGGCTGGTGGGGGCCACTCAGGATGGAGGCCCTGTGTTGGCTTTGCTGGGCTGGCTGCCAGGCTGCTTCCTTGTGGCTTCCCTGAGCCAGGTCAAGGTGATCATGCTGCTGGAGGCCTGGGGAGATTCCTTGAGCTCTGGGAACTCCAACACTGTGGCCATGAACCAGAGAGGGGAGGCATACTTTTAAAGGCTATCAAAAAGCCTAGATAGGAATGAACTGTAGCGTGCAGAAAGATAGATGAGGTGTTGCTTACATCAAAGCACTAAAAACTTTCCTTTTGAAGTGGGAATACTTGGAAGACATGCAATTTCCATTGGCTTTTAACTTAGGTAGGAAGAATGGCCTGTATCATAAATGTAGAAAATTATTTAACTGATAAAGCAGTTAAGAAGTCACATCAAAAATATGTTATCTATTCTTAACATTCTAAAGCAGAATTTCCTCCCTCATTATTTAATTTCTTTGGTTTTGGTTTTTGAACTTGAAATCATTCATTTCTTGCCTAAGGAGAGAGTATATTTGTTGAGAAGCATCAGCCAAGGCCAGAATATTCATGTAATTCTCACCAATTAGGTAGGGGAGGCTGAAGTCAAGACTGAGAAGAACCATAGTTCAGAGTAATTTTTTAAAGGTACAAATGCAGTTACCTTTTCAGTGGGTATCAGGAATACTGCTTTTGTATTAACCTGTGTATGTGTCCTCAGTTACCACAAAGCTCTACTCTTTGTTATAGCAATTTTGCCTACCCTACTGACATAACTGTCTTCTGGTGTATCACAAAAAGTATACTGATCTCCAGGAACTTTCCTGAACAATTTTGAGATATGAGCTTTCAAGTTACAATGTAAGTGAATAAGTCATGCTTGTATTTACAACAGATAGAGCTCCAGAATACTTGGTCATTTGATTGGTTCCAAGAAATATGCTAGTTCTATTGACAACGTACTTGCAAACCATTTTCAACTTCAAAAATGGTTATTTTCCCTGTTGTTGCTATGGTTGTGTTGCTTTACTAGGTTTAGTCTCAGAGGGTGATACTATGAGCCATATCCACTTGTGGACTCTGCCCAGATGGTGGAAAGATCAGGGGTTCATTTCTGTCCCTAATTTGCTGGGTCATCTTGGACTAGTTATTTATCATATTCTTCCCCCAAACCTGCTGCTCGTTTTCCGTTAGAGCCTCAGTGAATGGCATCTGTGGTAGGATGAATAATGATATTATTAGGACCAAAGATATCTGGTCTTAATCCCTGGAACCTGTAAATGTTACTTTTCTTGGAAAAAGCATCTTTGCAATTGTGACTAAGGATCCTTAGGTGGAGACATTATCCTGGGTTATCTGAGTGTCCTTATCAGGGAGCGAAAGAGGGAGATTTGAGTCAGATACACAGAGAAGAAGGCAATGTGAAGAGGGAGCAGAGATTTAGAAGATTCTGGCCTTGAAGATTGTAGGGATGCTGCCACAAACCAAGGAGTGACAGCAGCCACCTCGATACTTGTCCTCCTTTTACACCAGCCCTCATACTGCCATCAGAGGGGTTTTTCTAAAATAGAGATCTGACCACATGAATGCGCAGTCAAAATCTTTCAATGGCATCTTAATGCCTGTAAGATAAAACCCAGGCTCCTAAGAGGCCCTTCTCGATTTGACCCTGTCCTCTCCTGACACTCCCCTCCCCTGATGGCTGAAACCACCTCCCTAAAATTCCACACTTAAACATATGTATATCCCAACTCATGTTTTTTAATACCATTAAAAATGTCGATCAGTAAAAATAAATTTCAACATAAATGGTTACTTAAAATGTCTAATATAACATGGCAATATAAATGGTTATATGAAATACTGTGCAAATCCTCAAGATAAAAAAGTGAAAAAAGCAAGCTGTAGAAAAGTGTGAATAGTTTGCCACTGTGTCCATTAATAAAACACATTTGTAGGTGCACAGATTGCCTTTGACAGAATACGGAAGGTAAGCTTGGGGGCTTCTGGAGAGGGGGAAGGGAACTGAGGGACAGGGAAGACAGGGAGACTTCTTCATTGAATGTTCTCTTGTAACTTGTGCATGTGTGGCCTATTAAAATCAAAAACATTTTTCTCATTTCAAAGACTTACAAGGGTTGTACTCTCGCCATTAACATCAATGAAAGCTTCTGGGTTTTTCTATTGAGCTCTGGGATAATTATTAAAGATCAGATAAAAATATTTTTCTTTCTGAGTCTGTATTCTGCAAGATCAATGATTATTACTGCAGCTATTATGTAAAGATGATTTGCTTCAGTTTGCATTAATGTTATTTTGTGTTCTTTGCATGTGTCCCAACTGAGAGCTGGTTGGACAACAGAAGGAAATTAACCTGAGCTTAAAATGTGCTCACGGATAACCCAGACAGTGCACTAAGAGTTGACTGCAGTTCAATCTAAATTTACCAGGGGGTTGGCCTGACCTGGAAATACCACTCTCTCAGAAATCCCACAAAGCTACATTCCTCACTGTAAAAGTGAAATGTACCTAACCATATTTATTCGTCTTAAGTGCCTCTTCTTTCCTCCCACTGTCAGTTGAGTAGACCTACATCTAACTTTAAATCTACTTAATGTATTTTCAGGTTGGCTATGTTAAAAAATTACAAGTATAAAAACTATGAATGAACAATAACTCCTAAGATTATTATTAAACAAAAATCTTCTACATAAAACTATACATTCACCAAATTTGGTTCTTTTGAACACTAATTAAATCTCCCGATCATTTTCATGAATTAGGTGTTATTACATTATATTGCTTTTTAAATATTAATGAAATACTATTGATGAATTAAATTCCCCTGAAGTAATAAAAGATGTTTTAGAAGATATATATGTATTCTACTTTTCACTGTGTGTGGTATCCAGGTATCAAGGACATCTAAGTAAAAGTGAAATACTGGAGAGGTTAAATGCTAATATTCTTTAAAAATATCCTAGGTGAACTGTACACCAATGTTCCTAGCAAATTACAATAGCCAAAAGGTGGAAACACCCCAAATGTCCATCAACAGATGAATCGGTAAACAAAATACAGCATATACAGACAATGGAGTAGGATTCAGCCTCAAAAAGGAAGGAAATTCTGACACGTTACAACTTGGATGAACCTTGAGGACATTATGCTAAGTGAAGTAAGCCAGTAACAAAAGGACAAACACTATAAGATTCCACGCATATGAAGTACCTAGAGTGGTCAAATTCACAGAGACAGTGGAATCGCGGTTGCCAGGGGCTGGGGGAGAGGATGAAGCGTTAGTGCGGAGTTTCAGTTTGAGACCATGAAAAAGCCATAGAGCTGGATGGTGGGGATAGCTGCCCAGTAATAATGTGAATGCACTTAGTGCCACAAAATATATATGTAAAAATGGCTAAAATGGTAAATTTTATGTCATGTATATTTTACAATTAAAAAAGGGTAACAGTATGTTAAAATTTTATAAATATCTTAAGTGATGAGGTAAACCTTCTTGTAGGTTTATAATGAAGATATCATTGCATTTCTTACTATTGTAATGGGATAATATTTTGAAAATATTCAAGTGCCATATTCTCAATACCCACCCCACCCCAAATTATGTTTTCTTCCAAGTAAACTGAGCATGGAGAATGAATTGGACATGTCAGCTATAACAAGGGGTAAAGTGATCCTGCCATACAGATACAAAGAAATATGGGATGGATGGGGGACACAGATGGTTTTCAGAGATATGCAGGGCCAGCCCCAGCCAGGATGAGGTCAGCTCAGCCTGGGGACCGCTGGTTCTATGGGGAGAGCCCATGCCACAAGCCTTACCAGTCTTGCACTTGGCAGGAGATGGCCGGTAGTGTGGCCATTGACATCTTAACAGAAGTAAGGGGGGGAACTTGAGGATCTGCCCTTGGAACGGCCCCACCCCAACAAGGGCACAAATGCTGTCCAGACACTCTGATACCATGTTAGGGAGAACATAGTGGAAGTGGATTGTAATCTTGAATTAATTATTTATTAGAGACAGAAATAACCTGAAAACTTCACATTGCAAGAGAGGGAAATACAGTGGATTCTCATTATTCATGGTCATTATGTTCTATAAAGTCACCACGAACACTGGAATAGTAAATACCAAAGCATTGCTCCAAGGGAAATACAGAGCTAGGTTAAGACAGAGAACATGGAATGATTCAACTCCTCGGGTAACTGGTACCTTTGAGCAGATAAGGAAAATTTCTTCTAGAGCCATAGGGAGAAGAAAATATCAATAGCTGGGCAAGATTTCAGATCTGCATTGGGAAAGAAGTTGACCTCACTTGGGATGTGGAAGAGTCCAAATGAAGGCTAGTTAGGTAATAATTGACATCTCCTCTCGGTCTCTGCTCTCAGACACTGAGTTGATTATGCTTTTTAAATACTTTATGAATTCCATCCGGATCTCTTCCGGGTCATCCTCAAGATTCGAGTGCACCAGCTTCAGCTTGTTCAAGGGTGGTGCTTAAAAAGGAAAATAAGGTCATTAGGCATGAACTTTTACTGTGGGCCAGTTTTAGTTCCAAATGACCCGAGTCTTACAGAAGCCAACTCGTTTAACTTTCTAAAGTCCAAAATAAAGTTGTGTCTTGCTTGACGTAATTTAACAAAGGAAGGTGTCACCACACTGCCACCTGACAATAGGATGACAACTCTACAAGCCACTGCCAGGCCCTCTTTGTTCTTATACCAGAAAGGAAGACATTGCTGAATATTGTCAGTCATTTTCTATGATCACATTGTCACCTCTGTAATGGTATGTGTCACATGTAAATTGGAGTTTTTCTTGAGAAAAGGCCAGTCAGGAAAGAGTGACTGGTAAGTGGCTAAAGCCAGGTGTTTCCCCCTCTTGTTATTTACCTGCTTTTAAAGTGTCTCTATCCTGGCCTGGATGGTGTGGCAGATCTTCCAATCTGGCAATTCTGATTTACATGGTGAGAAAAACAAATGCCTAGGACATACTAGGTGCTCACTAACGGCACACAGCTACTGCTTTCAAAGACACACAGCAATATACAAATGGCCAGAACACGGAAGGCAAAAGCAGAAAGGAGAATTGCAGTCTCCTTACACAAAGACAGGTTTCCTTTATCACTTCCAGAGCCTGGTTTGTGGTGTGCAATTAACAGACACTGAGTATCCTGTAAGAACTGCTGCTGAACAAAGCAGGAATACCACATCTCGATTTCCTTCAGGTGGCTTGGGATGTCAGCGTTGAAAATGATCACCACTCCATGAGAGTCCTTCATCAGGGCTGGCCAACAAGACTCAAACCTGCAAGGCAGCAAAGGATTCACAGTGAATGTTAGGTGGTCCTGGTTTCTAACAGCGGACTTTAAAAATAGTATGTTACTATTGATAACTGATGGATGACTTCTCATGGTATTAAAACCCAATCACTAAAGTTTCAATAGCAATGCATGTCACCAAACAATTGACGAAGGCCCTAATACATGATAGGAAGTGTGCTAGGCCAAGGTGCCTGATGGGCAGCTGATTTTTGAGCCATCTGATGAACCAAACCCTCTTAAAGGAGACGTACTTTGGATCGCCACCACAATCCCATAGCTCAAATTCGCATGCTGTGCCTTTGTTGTTGCTGGTAACGTGTGGGTTCTCAAATTCCAGGATCCTATAAACAGAAACAGCAGCAGCATCACTACTTTGGAAATATTATACTTTTGGAACGCCACGAACATCCAAAGTAGAGGGTCTCTGGGACACAGATTCATCAGCGCTCACCTCACTCCTTGGGTTGGGTTATATTCAGTGATGTCAGAGGATTCTGTCAGGAAGTTGGCCAAAACAGTTTTTCCACTCTGTGAAAATGAAGATAATAAAAATCTTTTCGGAAGAGCAGAAAAGTAAACCTTAAACGAGCCCTCTAATAGCTGGCGTGGAGCCAGGTGTGATGGGGTGTAGGCCACGACCACCCTGGAATCACCAGGGCAGAGGGCTCTCTCTGGTTGGGTGGACTTGCTGACTTGCTCTGCGTGGTGGGCACAGTCTGCTCTGGGACCCATGGAGCAGGGGATTCCAGAACTGGCTCTGCCACTGAGTGACTTGACCCATGTGGATTTCCCCGGCTGGCTCTCAGTTAACTCATCTAAGAACAGAAAAAAGATCATTAATGTGAGCTTTTCCTCACTTGCTCCTTTCCACAACTTCAAGGAAAACCCCAGTCTGTCACAGCTCATTATGAAGCCACTGAGGCCAAGAAAGGGGAAGGGAGTTCCTCAAGGTCACAGAGAAGTTCAAAGTCAGAGCTGGGTCACAGGTCTGGGTACTCCAGGCTGGCTATGTCACACTCTCTTGTAGGGCTGTTTCTCCTTCTAGGTAATATGCATTCTTTTTTTTTTTTTTAAATATATCTTTATTGATTTCAGAGAGAGGACGAGAGAGGGAGAGAGAGAGATAGAAACATCAATGATGAGAGAGAATCATTGATCGGCTGCCTCCTGCACGACCCCTGCTGGGGGTCAAGCCCACAACCAGACCGGGAATCGAACCTAGATCTCCTGGGTCATAGGTGGATGCTTAACCACTGAGCCACGCTGGCCAGGCAATACACATTCTTATATGTAAAAAAAGAACAAGCAGCCCTCCTGGTCCCTCCACCCAGAGCATGCACCCGTCTATCCATCCCGAAGGTCCCCCAAAGGTAACAAGGATGTTTTTCAGGTCTTTTCCATACACTTGCATCATTCACTTAACAAACACTGTATATGCCCGGATGCAAAACAAGTTTTTCTCTCCACCCAACTTATTCCTCAGAAGGGGAATCTCTTACACTTGAGTCCTTATAAAAGTCTCTCAAATTATGCGCTGCATTTCAATTACTTTATTTTGAACACCAACTGCTTGATTAGAATGACCTCAATCAGTGCCAGTTTGGGAGGCTTGTAGAGGTCACTGGATGGAATCAGGAAAATAAATAAAAGGAAGGGGAGGAGCTTAACATTGTTCTGGTAATTTTCCCTGAGGATATGGCCCCGCAAATCAATTATCACTTAACAATAACACAATAAGTGGTTATGTTGTGGACATCATGAATATTTATCTACAGGATGAATGAATAAAGTAAATGGCCTGATGTTATAGGGACTATTCTTTGAGTTGGAACACATTTCCAGGAACAGGTTTATACACAGATTCAAAAAGTGCTATATCCTAAACTATTTAGGTGTTGTGCTTTGTTAGGTGATTCAAAAAGTGGTGCCCGGCCAGGTGTGGCTCAGCGGTTGAGCATCGACCTAGGATCCAGGAGATAGCAGTTCAATTCCTGGTCAGGGCACATGCCTGGGTTGCGGGCTTGATCCCCAGTCCGGGGTTGTGCAGGAGGCAGCTGATCAATGACTCTTTCATCATTGATTTTTCAACTCTCTCTCTCTCTCCCTTCCTCTCTCTGAAATCAATAAAGATACATTAAAAAAAAAAGTGGCTCTAGTCAGAGGTGCATGTGAGGGGCTTGAAGAAAACTGTCATGAAATGCAAGAATGGAATAAAACAGTATTTCCAAGTTAACATATAACTTAATGTAACTTTACATGTGTATATAGCTACACTGATACATAAAACATTATAAAAATATATTTGTATATTTCATCTATGCCCTTAAAGTTTATATATATTAGTTGGCTAAAACCAATTTCTTAATGGGGTGGGTTCTTATGGGAAAATGAAAAAATTGCCTGTTAGACCCATAGGTATTTTTAAGTGTCTACCTTGTGCCAGCTACTGTTGAATAAATTAGAAAAAGATGAGCCCTGGCTGATATGGCTCAGTTGGTTGAAGTGTCATCCCGTACACATGCCCAGGTTTTGGGTTCAATTCCTGGTTGGGGTATGTGTGGGAGGCAACCAATCAATGTTTCTCTCCCACATTGATGCTTCTCTCTCTCTCCCCCTTCCTCTCTCTAAAATCAATTAAAAATAAACTAGAAAAAGATGAGGTAGTGATAAAGTACTAGGATAAAAATAAAGCAGGGTGATGTGACAGAGACCTTGAATTGGGTGCTCAGGGAAAGCCTAGATGAATTTTAAATTGAGTCAACTGAGGCTTCCAAGCAGGGGAAATAGCTAGTTCAAAGGCTGGGGCAGGAATGGGCACAGCATGTTAAAGGAATAGAAAGTTTGTAAGTTTGAAGAGTAGTGAGGGAGAGTGAAATGTATATGCAGAAATATATTTTGTTGTTGAAGCTGAGTGATGGGTGCTAGGAATTCATAATTCTTTCTCCCTTGAATATATTTGAGAATTTCCATTACAAAAGATATCTATGCTTGTTTTGTTTTCATGATTCTCTGCATATTGTTATTACTTGTCTATTTCACTTAATAATTTATGTCTTGGAGAGTTCTCCATGTCAGTACACACAGACTTGACTTCTTTTGTTTAACTTCTGGCTGCACAATCTTCCAGACTGAGAATGTACCTTAGTTTATTTCAATACTTTCTTATTAATGGCACCTACGATGTTTCTAACTGTTCAATATTGTACATGACTCATGGGGAACATGGACAAGTATTTAGCTACTGTAGATTCTGAGACATGTGCAGAACTAAAAGCTAGGCACATTTTAAATTTTAATAATTTGATCACCAAAAAAGCTTTTGTCAATTTATAGCACCATCAACAGAATCCTAGAGTACTCATTACCCTACAAGCATCCGAACGGTGGGTATTATGACTTTTCTAAACTTTTCTCATTCAATCTAATGGGTAAATGAATTTCATCTTTTTTAATTTACTTAAATTAAAAAAAAAAATCTTTATTGATTTCAGAGAGAGGAAAGGAGAGGGAGAGAGACATCAATGATGAGTCATCGATCGGCTGCCCCCTGCACGCCCCCCGACTGGGGACTGAGCCTACAACCCAGGCATGTGCCCTGACTGGGAATTGAACCCTGATTGCCTGGATCCTAGGTCGACGCTCAACTGCTGAGCCATGCCCAGCTGGGCTATATATTTATTGATTTCAGAGTGAGGAAGGGAGAGGGAGAGAGAAACATCAGTGATGAGAGTCACTGATCAGTTGCTTTCTGCATGCCCCCATGAGGATGGAGCCCACAACCCAGGCATATGCCCTGACTGGGAACTGAACTGAGATCTCCTGGATCATAGGTCGATGCTGGAGCGCACAGAGCCACTCTCGCCCCAAGCATGTCATCTTTTTGTTTTAAATTGTGTTCCTGTGACTATGAAGCGGGGCATCTTCTCACACTTATTGGTCAGTTACATTTCTTGTGTGCAGAGCCTTTGCTCAGTTTTCTATTGAGTTATTTCTCTTTACTGGTTTTTAAACTTTCCTTGTGATCTACCTATTAATCCTTTGTGATATATTTTGCAAATACTTCCCCTAGGCTTTAACTTCTCTGTCATTTCTTTTAAGGCTTCTTCATTTTTGTGTTGTACTTAAGAAGACCTTCCCTATCTGAAGATTAAAAACCTGTCTTTCCGTATATTCATCTACTACAGTGTTCTCAAAGCGTGGTCCCTGGGGGAACACCATCAGCAAAATGCAAATTCCCATTCATTTACTACTTCCGCGGTCTCCCTCCCACCCCCTACGTTTAGCTTTAGTCCATCTGAATTTTATTTTTGTGTACGGTGTGAAGTACGCATGTAGATATAATCCCCACCACCACCACCACCACACGTACATTAATAACTAATTGTTCCAAGACCAGGTAATAGTCCAGTCTTTCCTCCTAGGTTTCTCGTCCCACAGTCATATTCATTAGGGGCAGCCTCGAATGCAGTGAGATCTAGGTTCTGGTTCCATAACGCCACTCTCTAGCTTGGGCCTTCAGGCCTCAGTGACACAGGGTCAATGTCTGGAGGCGCCGAGTTCCCGGTAAGGCGAGCGGCGCACACCGAGTGGGAGCGGTGGGGCTGGGTTCCCACTACCTGGGGGGCTCCCGGCGCCGGGCACCGGGGCACCCCCGCCTCCTCTCGCCGCCCCCGGCCCCGGCCTCACCTCGCAGGGCCCCACGAAGAGGATCTTGGCCTTCAGCATCCCGGTCGGCCGACAGCAGGCCCACCCGAGCCCACTCCAGCGTCGCCTGAGACAGCTGTGGTCAGAACCGAGCGGAAGTCGCCGCGCCGATTGGCTGCCTTTGTTTCCATGGAGACCGGGAGCGGCCCGCGGGGGCCGACGGGAGTGGGCGGTTCCGAGCGCACGTAGGCTCCGGGATGCCGGCCGAGTCCCGGGCCAGGCGGCGGCGGCTTCAGGCTGAGGAGACTGCGCGCAAGGCACTGGGAGAGGGTAGGAGGGAAACAGAAACCCGATTCAGACTGTCTTCGGAGCGGGGAGGACCGTAGAGCTCACGAGTCTGGCTTCTATCTCTCTTTGTAGGGAGGGTCATTTTATTTCTCGCCGTAACTGCAGCCGCTCAAACAAGTCACTAGCTGGTGAGCTGGGGTAGGAACCAGCCCCTGACCGTCACTCTGGCATGATACTGGCTACACGGAGAACGGGTTTACCATCTCCCTGGCCCAGTCTCGAAGAGGTCAAGGAAAGGAGCCTCTGGTTTCTGTAAAGGGGCTCATCACTCACCCTCCTTGGGTGATCTGGAAGAAACCATAAGGACACGGCGTGTTCAGCGTCAGTGCCGGTGGCCGCGCACGTTGCTGCTAAACGCAGTCATCGGATCCGTCCTAAGTTACAGACCCAGTGCCCAATTTCGGGCGAGACCATGAAACTAAGCGTCTAGGCGCCAAGAGTGCTGATAGGAGATATACTAGCCCCAAAAGGTGCTGACGTGACCCCCCAAAATACTAAAACCCAATCTTTACTTTTTGGTAGGCTAGGTATATAGTCTCTGTATTACAAAGAACTGCTGAGTGAACTGTAAGAGAGGGTCTTCAGTACCAAGATGCCATGAATTGATTGGCTAAATAACTGTTGAATGCCTACTTTATACCAGGCACTCTTCTAGGCACGAGGGATGTTCCTGCATCTCTTGAACCTGCCATTCCAGTAGAGTAGATGGACATTAAGTAAACAAATAAATAAATAACATACTCTCAAGTAGGGATAATTTTATTTTATTATTTTTTAATCCTCACCCTAGAACATTTTTTCTGTTGATTTTCAGAGAGAGTGGAAGGGAGAGAGAGAGAGGGAGGGAAAGAGAAACACTGATGTGAGAGAGACACATTGATTGGTTGCCTCCTATACGTGCCCCAGCCAGGCTGGGGATCAAGCCTGCAACCTACGTATGTGCCCTTGGCTGGAATCGAACCCTGGACCCTTCAGTCTGTGGGCTGACGCTCTAACCACTAAGCCAAACCGGCTAGGGCTAGAGACAATTTTAGGTAAGTGCTGTGAATAAAAAGAAATCACTT